AGTACGGTATGGTATGGTATAGTATGGTATTTTTAAACATTTAAATTAATTTAAAAACTTAGCTTTGACATCTCAAGGGTTACACCACAGACAAAAAATAAATAAATAAAATAAAACAAAACAAATAAAAGCTCAACTCCCACTGATACTTTTTTATGTCACAACATACAATGCTGTTTTTCACGCAGAGAAAAAAAAAATATTAAGAGCAGTGTTTTTATTGTAAATAAGTTGTATATTCATCTGGAGCCAAAGCTATTGATGATTTGTGGCCTGCTCAGATAAAGATGAATCGACTACTTTGACATTTTCATTTCCATAACATGGTATATTGTCAAAGAAAAGAGCAGTAATTTCCCTCAGCAACATTAGTGTAGTAAACAGTTTGAGTTGTTTGTTATTGTTTCCTGGTGTTCATCTCTTTTGTCTACTTCCCTATGCATGTATTGACTGTTAAGCCTTCCTGAATCCCTGGTCAGCCTGAGCTGTTTAAAGGTTAATTTGATCGTCACCGAAAGACAACATAGAGGATCCAAACACAGAATTTGTTTGTAGGATGCAAGTTGTCAGAATAACTTCAGTCTGAATTGATATTATGATAACTCAAATTACACAGAAGCAGGGGAAATTGTATTTTAGAACAATAACAACAAAGTGTAAAACACACCAAACAGGAACTTGAGTGATGACTAAAACAATGATCTGGCATGTAAATCAAAGGGTTTCAGGGAATCACTGTATACTTGTATGTGGAACTAAAGACAGACAAGTTCTGCAAATGAAAAATCACAAGTCAAGTAAAACAAAACTGTTCAAATATTACAAATCTATCTAAGGAGGAAAAGAAAAACAGCTAGTTAAAAAGGATAAATAAGCCCAGAGGTTATACGGTTAGGCAAATTTCACAGACTGTGAAACAAGTGGATGCATCTGTTTCATAAAAAAAAATAAACTAAAAATTGTCATGTTTTTCCTGGCAATGATTTAGAAATTATTTGAAATTGATTTTATGGTTAGTCTCTTTTTTTTCCCTCGTTACTTCTTCCCTCTTCTTTCTACAATATCTGAAAGCTAAAATGATTTTGCTCATGTTATCTTAGCAGCTGACAGCTATTGGGGATATCATTAAAAACTAATTTTTTAAATCATTTTTATATCTGTTTACTTTTACAATTATTTTAATTGAAGTCAATTTGGAAAACTTTCCTTTTCAGCTATATATATATTTTTTTTTTTCTCTATAGTTGTTTTATTAAACATACCATTATAATTATGAAGCAATAAAAAGCACATAGTTTCTTTTCACAGCATTTTGACTAACCTAAGTTAAAAGTTTGTATAAATACTGTCGGTTGCATTTTTCAACACAGCATTTTATTTTATTTGGCTAAACAGAATGAATAATTTTTGATGTTTTTTGTTTGTTTGTTTGTTTTGTTCTTCGGCCATCAGCAGTAAACTTTGTGTATTTGCAGCCATTCTATTCTGCTTTTCCAATTGATGTTATTTACTGACAGCTTAAAACAAGACTGTTTTATTGTTTTTATGGTTCTATCATAATAACACAATGTTTGCTTCATGTTTTTTTAATAATTATGCATAAACTATGTCTTTATATATAAAGAGATTTATTTTTAACCTACTCAGAATGATTTCATTATTAATTATATTACTTTATATCATTTACACAGATATTTTTGTTTCCCCAACCTAATGTATTTCGATTGCATAATTACAAAAAAAAACCTTATTGAATAATTTGTGTAGCTACATATACAATTTTGATTTCTTTTATTCATCCAGTAAAGCTGATTCTAATCAGTCCTCACTATATCTTAGAGTTTTATATGGTTGAATTATACTTAATTTAACTGTGATTCTTAGTCTTAAACTGTAACTTCTATTCATGTAACATTTCAGCTGTTCTGTCGTTCATCAGAGAAAAATGAAAACTGAAAAAAATTGCAGCTACAAAATAATGTTTATAATTTTAGTATTACAAATTAGTAATAGTTAAATGACTTACCTGATGTTTCTTAAAATAAGCTTAATTGTTTTGTTTGAATGTCTATAACTGAATCCTATGGAGGTGGACTTGTTATCTTCATTCTGGTCCAGACATGTCGCTCCATCACTCCTGAATTTTCCATCATCTGTCTGTCATACAGCTGGAATTTTGATGCATCTTCAGCAACACGTCTCAGCGGGTTTATTTCCCCTCCTTTGTCTTTACTTGCTCTCTGTTGTCACTCCTGTATCCACCTGTGTCCCACAAGAGCACGGACAAGTTTGCAGATGGGTTTTTTTGCGCGTGTGAAGCCACTTCAGGAAATCAGAAATTCTGCAACACAAAGTCTGCCTAAAGGAAGAAATAATGACACACCCACAAAGGTAGAGGTGGGTGCACACAGGGAGACAGTACAACCTGTTCAGCAGTCCTGTCTGGCTGGCTGTCTATCTGTCTTTGTTTTATTATGTCTCAGGGGGACTGGAAGGTAACAGCTGGGAGTACAGGATGCAGGGTCAGACACTTCCTGCCCAGAGTATTAGTCTTTATCTGGTATGTGTTTGTCTTCATAAAACTGGTATCTGAAGATCAAATTGAAAGAGGAAAAAACATAAAAGTCTGAAATTCCACACAGTGTCAAGCGTGAAATGATGAATTTGGGTTAACAAACAGGTCAGACGTTGTCTGTTTTTTGTCTTTCATGCACCAAGATGATGACTTGGATTTAGATTTCAGGAATGGCATCTGACATGGATGAACCCAAACATGTCAAGAGGAGCCTGGGGTCTTTTTATCTGTCCTTTTTTTTAAATCAAAGTTTTGTCTTTGTTTATTGTGTTTTCACCATGTTCACTGACCACAAGAGGGCAGCATAAGGTCTTATGTGTCTTTATTTTCCACTGGGTGTCAAGTGTCAGCTTTTGTTCATTTTTTCGTGGGGGGAAAACACAACAGTATCAGATCAGTGMAGCGGAGCAGAACTGCAGTGGGCTACTGCTCCTCGTCAGTGACACAGCACTTTTAAGTTCCCCCTCAGTGATGGTTTAATCCTTTCTTCCTTTGCTACAATGAAGCAGTAAAAAAAAAGATACATCTAAGACTACATCAAGGTGTACTTTGAACTGACAGAAGCAATAGAAATGTTCACAATTTTTGATTCCTTGACTTGTGCGTAAGCTCATCAAAAAGCCAACCAGTTTGTACCCAGGGGCTTCATTGTCCCACTGAAGGCTGTGGCACCTGCAAAAAGCCTCTACAGTACATCATTTTCAGTCAGGCATGTGACGAACTGCAGCATGGATTAACAATAGCAAGGACTCCCACACTTGTACCTTCACTCATGAGCACAGCAGAGTTAAAAGCACCTGACTCGGTTCGCTCCTCAGGGAAAATTACAGGAAGTTGAAAGAGAGCTGTATTTTTCATTCACACAGACACAGATTAAAAATAATAATAATAAATAAAACAAAAATAGAACATAAGTGTTGGCATTATTACCTGGACAACAAAGGGCTCTAAAACCATTACAGCAATCATTTTATTCATCACAGTCGGGGTCTTTGTGCAGTGTTCAAATGTGCTCTTTTTACCACAGATCTCAGTGAGGTGAGATTACACAGCAAGTGGGGTTAGGTTGTTGTTTTTTTTATTGTATCTATTTTTGTATAGGAGCCTTACAACTTATCTCAATAAGCTTGCCTTTACATAATTGTAAAACGTGTAATGATTGTAAACTTTTTTTTTTTATTTTTCTGCCAAACGTTGCATAGATTCAATAAGAACAAATGGCTTCTATGGTTAGAAAACTTTTACTACAACCAGCATTTTATGATTTAGTTAATGGTAATGACACATGATTGCCTGCCTTTGGACTTAACCTTTCATGTTAAAACCAAAACATAATGTAAGTAATATAGGAATTATGGTAACTTAATCAAACGTCAACAATTCAGTGCGTTTCCACATTCTCACAGGAGTTACTTAAGTTCGTAAAACCCCAACACGTTCTACAATAATGCATGTCTTCTAACTTTGAGGGCATCTGAAAGTCTGTTTAGGTTTTGTCAGACATTTTATGCACTGTGAGTTCTTGTGTTTTTTGTGAAGTTTCTAACTTTGCAAAACTCATTCATAAGAAGAATAATGACAAGAGATGTGGGTTTGTGTGCTTCACTGCAGAGAAATAGTCTTGTGCAGTTATTTATTTGTATTTTTTTCTGTAATCTTGAACGGCAATGTTTTGACAGAGACGCCAGCCAATTACAGTGTGCAGTCTTGAGAATTATCAAAACACAAAAAATGGTTTGAACGGCTGTCTCCTCTTTCTAAAAACCCACTGCATGTACAATAAAGCTCCTATTGGAGAATACATTCATTTTATACAAGATCATCCCATTATTGTAATTCACATGACTAATAAAAGCACACCTTTATACCCTATTTTAGCTGATTTTTTATAAGAAATACTGCAAATCAAATTTTGTTATTCTGACTTTATTTGTCCAGCATTAAAGTAGAAATACTCAAGTTATACATTTGATTGCCTCATGTCACTGAAGCTAAAATTGTGCAACATAATATGGCAGACAGCAGTAGGCAAACAAAGTGATCTGATCTAAAGCAAGTTTCAGAGAAGTGGAAGGTGATGCACTTCCTCTCTGATGGCATTCAGGCTCTTTCTCGCACTTGTGATTGTTTTGTTGGGGGGTGGGTGTGGGGGCTCATTTGCATGCCTCACAGCATTAGTAACAAGCATTAAACCATGGTGACAGTGCATCAAGGACCTGCCTTTTTATTCTTTTCATTTGCTTCACTTTAAACCCATTTACTGCTTGTTTCTTTTTTGATATATATATATATTTTTTGCACTGTCCTTATCCTTCAGTCTTCGAGTGTGTCAGCGTTTTCTTTAGCAGGAAGCTTTGTGGCCATTTGGACCACACTGAGACAGCTCCCAGATGTCAGCCACCATAGCAACGCTCGAGCCAAAATAAACCCCACAATTCCATGCTCAAACAGTGGTAATTTGGTCCACTACTCTAGTGCTGTCATTCATTTCAACGCACTCCACCTCCTGCCTCTGGCCTTCCCTTCCTGGGCGGTGGTCTCTGCTTTTGGAGGGAGGCAGGAAGGTGAGGAGGGCGGGCAGAAAGGCCAACGTGTGCAGGGCCGAGCAACCGGCGGTGAGGCTGAGGCAGCGGAAAAGCGTGCGCGTCAGGTTTGAGCGTACGAAGCCGATGGGCACCAGGGCGGCGCCATAGCACACCAGCGTCTGTAAGGACGGGATGCCGTGCCTCTCCAACGCTAACCGAACCCAGCGAGTCCTGCTCTCGCCCTGACCTGAGGCGAAACCACAGAGGAGCGGGCCGCTGCAGTCCGCCGAGTGTCCCAGAGCCGAGATCAGACACAGCACAGACACGCAGTCCATCTCCACGCCCCACAGCGTCATGAAGCCCAGCACCCCGAACTGGACCGAGAGCAGGGTGAGACCCAGCCACACGGACACCAGCGGCTCCACGATGGCCAGAGAGGAGAGCCCCAACAGGAAGAGCGCTGCCAGCAGGGAGTGCCTGAGGGGCGAGCCCACCGCCGCGGCGTAACGGTCCAAGTACACGAAGGAGGGGTTGAAGATGAGGAAGCGGACGCGGGAGGTGAGCGAGAGGCGACGCAGCGTGTCCAGCAGCACTGACATCTCCTCGCGCTTGTTCTCCGTCGTCTTGGCCACCAGGAAGAGGCGCGACGCCGCCACGTCGGGCTCCTCGCCCTGGCCGCGCGCCGCGAAGATGATGTCATCCTCGAAGTGGGCGAAGCGCGGATCGCGGAGGAAGGCGTGGCGCAGCGTGTGGGTGAAGTTCTCGCGCGGCTGGCTTGTGGACTCATTGCGGTCCAGCAGGTAGCTCAGGTAGGCCTCAAGCCAGCTGATCCTCTGGAAGCCTTTGGCGTACTCCAGCAGGTCCCGCTGCACCGAGGCGTTCCAGTAAGGGGCACTTTCGTAGATGTAGAACCCGATCACAGGAGAGTATGAGCTGAAGTAACGCTGCTGGGCACGTGTGTATAGGACGGTTGCTGTATCCATGGCCACCAGTGCGCTGGGGTCGGAACCTTGGGTGACCTGTTGGTAATTAAAACATCCGTAAAAGATCTGGGTTTCTGTTGTGTCAGTTTATGTAAAATGATTTCATCGTCATACATTTGTAACGTGTTTCTCACCTGAAGGAACCCCATCAATGCGAAGGAGATGTAAACCAGGTACAGCAGAACTACAAAGGGCTTGACATAAGTGTTGGTGATCCAGTCGCCATAGCAGCGTCGCACGCACCCCAGTAAAAGGTGCGAATCCTGAGGATGAGAATCCATACTTGCTGTGGAGTGACTCTGAGAGTGTGAATGTGTGTTTGTGGAGTTAGTCAGATGTCCACGCATTTCTGTGTGAGTCAGGTTTGAGTTCAGCGTGGGGCCAGCTCCGCGCGGCAGGCCGCTCAACTGCGTCTCATCCTGGTAACGAGTGTGCATCAAACACCGGTACCAGGCCGGTTTAGAGTCCAGTCGATCCTGTTTGGGGACTCTCCGGCAGAAGCAGCCGTGTCTGTACCGGGTCTCCAAGTAGCCCGTGAACACCAGGCAGGAGCTGTAGAACGACAACATGTAAACGTAGCTGACGCTGACTGCGAGGGCGGCGGCACGACAGAAGAGCCGGACGGCGTCCATGTTGGTGAGCGGCGAGGCGGCCAGGCCCAGCGTCGTCAGGTGGACCATGGTGGAGCCGGAAAAACGCAGCATGACGTCCTCGAACACGCTCGCCACGCGCTCTTTCACGTGCTGGTCCTCCCGTGTTCGCCTCCATGACGACAGCATCTCAAAAGAGCCGAAAAGCCCGTGGCCTGTCAACATGTGGAGCACAGATTAAAATGAGATTAGACAAAACATGGAACCAGAGCATGTCTTAAATWGGACTGGTAAACCAAACAAAGAACTTAATTACAGTTATACATACAGTGTATCTGTGTACTTTTTGATTAATCTTTTTTTTTTTCAAATTCAAGATCCCTTGCAGCATTTGATCCAACCTATGCAGCACTGAAGTAGGGTATGTAGATCCAATCAAATATTGATAGTGTCAGAGTCACAAAGTTGGAAATTCTGGGCATCTTCAGCTAAAATGTAGAGGTCCAATAGCTTTGTCTTTTTTTTCTTCTTTTTAGATTTGCTATGTCCTGGATGACTAAAAATCAACACTAACATAATGTGGTGGCAGATCGTAGGGTTGGGCGATAAATTCATTTAATCGATTAATTCYAATTTGCCATTTCTAAAGATTTAATTTTGGGAAAATCAAGATTTTTTTCCCTACCAGTGCACTCTTTGGGGCTTCTGTAGTTCAGAGGTCACCCCACCTGTCCCCCAAGTGGCTTGGTACACGACATGACAATATGGCAGCTAGCAAAGAGGATCCCAAAATAGGCACTGTTTTTTCAGTTATCTGGAACTGGTTAGGRTTTGCAACCTCTGACTTGGAGCAAATTCTGTTTGAAGGCTCTTGCCACAAAATGCAGGAGTATAACAATTTTGTTTCGACACCTGAAACAGAGGCACTCCGTTAAGTGGGAAGCAAAAATGGTTAAAATCGAAAATCAAATTTGGGATTAAAAACATCTGAGATTTTTTTTTGGAGTGGGGGGCATATCACCCAGTCCTACCAGATCGTATCAATAATATTGTGATGAGATTGATACTTCAGTTTGTTTCTGTTCTCTACTTTCAGCACATTTGTCACATTCCAGAAGTGACATTCTGCACCTGAATAGACAAGAACACATACCATCAAAACTAGCTCAATTCCAGCTAAGCTGTCCTTTCTTGCTGGGACATTTTGGTTTCACTTTAGTTGTATTGATATATACTTTTCAACCTGAGAGTGCAATGCTTTTGAACATATTCCTTCTGGATACTGTCACACCTTGATCCTGTTTGAAGCAGAAATACATGAAATGACAGAAGCGACTCCATGAAATGCATTTTCTTTTTGCTCCGTGACTTCGACGGCCATGTTTGGAAACTGGAACTGCAGTGCTGCAGTCGGTGAGCCACATATTTAAAACTTAGCAGATTTACTTTAAGTGTAGGACTTTTACATTATTCAAATTCATATAAAATTTATTGAATACATGTACATGCGTACCTATACATGTGCCATCAGATGGTTTTTAAGTTGTTGTTTTTTTTAATTCCCCCAACATGGTTGCCATGGTGTCCATGAGTCACCAGTGGCACATGTACACCCCTCCCCCTACAGTGACCTCTACATGGCAAACCACTTACCACCTTAGACAGCAGAGGCACATTGTACCAACACTTCAACAGGGGAGCAGGAGGATAAATGTGTGTAGAAAGTCTGGTGTGTGTGTGTGTGTGTGTGTGTGTGTGTGTGTGTGTGTGTGTGTGTGTGTGTGTGTGTGTG